TGTGTGTGTGTGTGTGTGGTATAACGGGGGCTTTGCGACATGCAGACCACGCGAGTTCGATTCCCTTGAGGGGACCTTCTTCATCGAGCATCTGTCTATCTGCTGTGACCTTGTAGCCTTCTCAGCCCACGTTAACCCTGACTGGCACAGCTGAAGCAGTCCGCCTCCTTTATGAATTAAATGGGCTCGGTGCCTGAAACATTTAAATATATGTACTAACTACATATACGATTCTGAAGTGCTTTTGACTCGACCATTCAGAAGTGAACCCCAACGATCTGCCGTGAACTGCAAAAGACTAAAGCAGCCATGGCATGATAATATATGCATGGTGCAAGGATAAAGAAATAAAAGAATGTGAAATCGGTTGTTGAGGTTGTGTTAGTCTTGATACTAACATCGTCTTATTCTACATGCACCAGATGCCAGGCAGTATGGGAAAATCTCAATTTGTGAAGGTGAGGTTCGGGGAAGAGGGAGGGAGGGGAAAGTGTATACACACATGCTCAAGAAAACACATTCAGCCCATAATATGCGTTTACGCACGCACGCACGCACACACACACACACACACACACACACACAAACACACACACACACAAACAGACACACACACACACACACACAAACACACACACACATACACATGTTCACATGCACTAACAAACAAACAAAAAATACACATATGTACGAAGTATTTGTAGGTATACACTCGCCACATTGTTGAGACTCAAAGGAAAAGTCAGTAAAAAAACTTCTATTTTGGCTGACTTGCGAAAGGTCATGACCCAAGTCCGCTTAGAAGGAGAAAAAGATTTTCGTCTTAGCCTTGCCTTTGGGAGGTTTCTGCCCCTCTTATCTATGAGAGCAAGAGTGGGTCTAAAAGGACGGACATTATAATTTCGGGACTCATCACAACAGTCAAGTGCATCATCTAAATCAGTGCTTGCTAACCTGGGCGATATCATTATAGTAGGAAATTTGGAAATTTTGGTGGGCGGTGGGAATCATCCGGGTGGAAACTAGTATTTTTTAATGTCCCGCTTAGAACAGGAAATACGTGTTGGTGGGTGTTACCAAAATTCTAAAATTCTATCCTCTTAAAAGGAGATAACGCTGAACGCTGGTTTATATATTTTTTTAAAAGGTTGACGAGCACTGATCTATATTTTATAGATTTGTTTTTCCTTTTTTAGGTTGGGGGGGGG